CCCTGGGTCCTACGTTTTGATAAAAGGAGACATTCTGTCTTCGTAGGGTTAATTTTCATTTTATTTTCAACCAGGTAAGGGATTAACGTTTCATTTATATGGGCGTCCAGGTCCCTGACCGCTGATTCTGCCGATCTGTCACTTTTGAAGACGCAGGTGTCGTCGGCGTATAGCGCCGTCTGTACCCCATTATGTCCCATTGGCATGTCATGGGTCATGATGGTGTACAGATGCGGCGATAATACCGAGCCCTGTGGTACTCCCGCTTGCACTGTGTATGGTCCTGTGATTGTTGAGTTAAGTTTTATGTTGAATTGTCTGTCCTGTAAGTAAGACAGAATTATTTTTACAATATACACTGGAAAATCATTCACCAGCATCTTGTGAATTAACCCGCAGGCCCATACGGTATCGAATGCTTTCTCGCTGTCAAGTGCGACTAGCACCGTTTGTAGGTCATTATTAAACGCCTCTTTGGCGTGATGCACAATTCTAATGATCTGGGCCACGGTGCTATGTCCGCTTCGAAAACCGTACTGTTCCTGCGGGACAATTTGTCGTTGTTCTTCTACCTGTTTTAGTCTTTTAAGTATAATTTTGTCTGTAATTTTGGCTATAGTGTTGAGTAGCGAGATGGGTCGGTAACTTTCGATGTTATTTGGGTTTTTGCCCTGTTTGAGAATTGGGATTATATTTGCCATTTTCAGGTTACTAGGGTAGTGTTGTAACCTGAAAATGGCATTTATTAGGTAATGAAGTTGAACAATTGCCTTAATAGGGATGTTTTTGAGCATGATGTTGCTTATGTCGTCCGGTCCTGGAGCTTTTCTGTTTTTGAGGCCCTTAATTACTTCCCCTACCTCTTTAGGAGAGGTCATAAAAGTTTGTGGGACTGGTTGTGGGGGGGTTAACTTTAATTCATTGATCATGTTTTCGATGATCTGCTGATTTCTGTTGTTTTGAGTGTTGTTTGTGAAGTTTGACTGAAAGTAGCTGCCGAGGGCGTGGCTTTTGTCTGTGTCTGAGGTGTACGTGTTCTGTCCTTGTATCAGTGGGGGGAGTAGTGATTGAGGTTTCTTCAAACCCTTCACTACTCTCCACAGTGAGTTGTCCATAGGATTCATTTCGGACAGGGATTTCTGCCATTTTGAGTTTCTGTGTGTATTAATCTCTGAGTTAATGTAGTTGGCTAGGTTACGGAGTCTAAGCCTGTCTTCTTCTCTCCTATGCGTCTGCCACCGCTTTCTGATGTGGTTTTTAGTAGTTATGAGTTCCGTGAGTTCGGGTGGCAGGTCGTCGGTATGTTGAGTTCTTGTTTTGATTTTAGTAGTGTCGTTTCTAGCTTTTTGTACGACATTAATAAATTCATTTGTGTGTTGTTCAAGTTGTTGTATGTTGTGTATGTTTTTATTGATTGTGAGATTTGTCTCTATAATCCGTCTGTAAGTGTTCCAATTAGTAGTTTTGTAGTCGTAATATTGCGTTTGAAGTCTGTTAATTTTGTTAGTAGTTTTGATTTCCAAGTACACTGGGTCGTGGTCAGAGTTTAGTGTGGATATAGTCCTGATGTTCTGTACGTCTTGTATGTTTTTCGTAACTGCGATGTCCAGTGTACTTGGATTGAAATTGTTAAATGGTGTGTACGTCGGTTCTTCCGTGTAGTGTATTATATAACCGTTGTCCTCGGTAGCTTCCCTCAGTAAAGTTCCCGCTGTATTTGGTCTAGTGCAGTTAGCATCCCATTCGGGGTGCTTGCAATTAAAGGTCCCCTGCGAGAATAACTCTATTACCTTTCGACATGAGCGTATGTAAATCAATAGTTCGAATGAGTAAGGGAGGCGGGTTGTATACTCCTATTATAGTGAATTTATCTACTTTGATTATGACATGTTCAATGTGAGGCGCTACGTTCGCGTTTGCTAATTGTTCAAACTTTATCGATTTTTTAATGAGTATAGCGACCCCTCCCGCTGCTTGTCTTTGTATGTTCGGTCTGTCTTTTCTGATAATGTGATAATCTCTAATTTTAAGTTTATTTGTCGGTTGTAAAAATGTTTCCGTTAATATTATGATGTCATGTTGATGCTTGTGAATGAAATTGGTGACTAAACCTTTCTTGCATAGCAAGCCGTGTACATTATAAAAACAGATTCTGATTTTGTCCCTGTGTGTCGCGTTGAATTTAGTTTCTAATTTTGTATGTGTTTAAGTTGGATACAAAGTTGTTGTACGTTAAAAATACCTCTCTCTCATCCCTACAGCGTCTGATCGCTGTGTTAAGGTCTCTGACTGCACGTGTGAGTTCCGCAATGTTGACTAGGGAGTTAAGGGTGTTGAATTCGTCGTTTAAGGCAAATATGTCGTCCATGGCTCCCTGGCTCTGTTGTTGGGGTTGATGTTGTTGTTGTGGTGGTTGCTGGGCTCTTCTGGTTGGCAGAGGTGGGAAGTCTTGGTCGTCGTCATTTCTTGTGGTTGTTCTTTTTTTGTCCCACATGTTCACTTTCGGTGGGGGTGCTGGGATGAACTTCTTTGGTGGCCTCTGAGTTCTCCGTTCATTCAATCTTTCAAGCCTTTCCAAGTATGCTTTGCATTGGCTGTAATTCGCCGGGTGGTCTCCCCCGCAATTCACACATGTTGCAAGGGTGTCCCGTGTCTTAATACACGTTCTTGTGTGATGAGCGTCTGCGCATTTGAGGCATTTAGAGGGCCGGCCACAATTTGCAGTGGCGTGTCCCCAAGCCTGACAGTTATGGCATTGGATTATATCCTTGGTGGATTTTCTAAGTTCCCATATAATTCTAGTGTTTTCTATCACACGTACATTCTTATTTAGGAAATCCAAGGTAATGGCCGGATCTGTGACCACTAGGAACAATGGTCGATTTTTGGTTGACATCTGATAGATCTCCCTGGGTTTAATGTCATACGATTGTATGAGATCTTCTTCTATGTGTTCCTTCTCGGTCCCGTTTGTCAACCCTCTGAGTACGAATGCGTGTGATTTTTCTGCACGGCTCGTGTACGTGTGGAATGGAATTTTCGCCTCTCTGATGCTAGTTATCTTATGATGTATCTTTGATTATCACACCGTTACGCCTCGCTATAGTAACAATATAGGTACTTTCTGCTGCTTTAAACGAAAAACCACTTACGAGGCTCAAAAATACATACGGACGACTGTACCATCTAGATACAACAGCGTGCCAAGAGAATTTCAACCATCCCCGCATCTCCGCGTCAGAGAGCGGTCGTCAGGACAAGCTCTTACATTTTACAGTTTTTTGACGAAACCATTTATTAGATTTTTAATTTCTAAAAAGTATTTTAATCCTTGATCTTTGCTCTACAACGTTTATTAAAAGTGTTTTTTGATTAGAATTTTCATTTTTGAGTTTTCACGGTGTAAATGATATTGCAATTTTGATGTTTCAGCGCGAGCCATTTAATATTAAGGAACTCCATATAAGAGCGTGTTGGGCAGGTAATTTAAAATTAAAATACTTTCTCTTGGAATTTTGAAACAAAACTTTTGCAGATGATTAAAAATGGCGTGTAGATGTAAATTAAGCAAAAAAAAATTTTGATATTTTTTGGAAAACCACCCCTAACTACCCCCTGCACACTACGATTTTTTGACGACCAGGCGATTTTGCGTTCTTATGGTGTAAGGAATGATATAAAATAGGTAATACATTTTAGCAATGAAGTGCAAACGGAATGACACGATAGAATCATTTTTAAACTCTACTATATATTGTATCAAAATATTCACTTTTCTCGTAATTTTGTCTTGGAAATAAAAAATTAATGTCCAGTTATCTTTTCCAAGAAAAACTAGTATTCTAGTTCGTTTTTAAATAAAATTCAAATAAATTAAAATATAGTCATCTTTTCAATCCTGACTCCAGTAGAATGGTATAGGAACACAATGCTATTGAATAGAGAAATAGAATATGACGCCGACGAATGAGGCTAATATGTTATTTCAATTGGTTCATAAATTTTCAGTGTGGCTACCTCTCTATGACCTAACGAGCAACAATAAGACTAATTTACTCTCATGTATTTAACCGGATTTATCCTTTTTACTCCAAATTCGCTTGTATCACAATAATATTGCCTATGTTCACAAAGCTTCTAAAATTATTTTAAAATAAAACGAAAACCTATGATTTAGACAAATATATTTCTCAAAGTTTCGTACATATATTACACAAAATTATAATAAAAAAGTACAACAAAATACACAAATTAACCTATGAAAACAAATGGATAGGTACGAAAAATAAATCTAATAAATACATTGGGAATATTTCATGAATAGGAATCATAACAGTGAACATAATCGACCAGGCACTATACAACATAAAATACAGTAAATAAACATTTTATAACTTCAAACCTACTATCAATCATTCACACAATATTTTAAAATTAAGTAGAACATAATTTTTGTATATATATATATTTGCAGCCAATATTAAGTTAATAGTTAAAGATATTTCTTCCCAGATGTCTCCTTTCAAATTGTCAAATTTTTAATATTTACCATTTGCTTTGAAGTTTGTTATTGATTATTAAATTTAATAAAAAGAAAAATAGTAAGAATACTAATTGACTTTTTTTTAAACGTGTTTTTATAAAGGACATTAATTAGTTTCCATAATTTTGCTGTTTAAACAAACTTCAAAATACAAATAGAATATTTAGTAGTATAATCTGGAAATAAGCTCTTACTACCCTACCAATGAAAAGTAGTACATAGTATGGACGAGGTTATTTTAAAAATTCGAATATATTTATAAAAGTTTTGTATTCCTTTTCAGTTCTACTTCAAATAACATTAAATGTTATTGAATATTACACTTGGCGCCTTTTTGAATTGGTAGGGACAAAATGTTTTTCAGTTTTTCGATGTAAGTAAAAAACTCTTATTAGGCCAATACAAAATGGTATCAGAAACTTTAGTAAAATTGTAGTAAAAAAATCTTTCCAGTATACTATACTTCTGCCGATTGACGGACGTCACTGTCTTTATCAGCCTGTAGTCTTCTTAAAACAGTTTCAAGTCCATCATAATTTTCATTGGAGGAGTCGGCAAAATACTCTGAAAAATATTATATTGCAGTAAACTAGTAGTAGTGTTTGAACATGAGTGGATATGATTGACATATTGCAAGAAGACAAATTCAATGCGATACGGACAATTCACTATATATTTTTTATGACTCACTATCGCAAATTACAAAATTTTAAAAATTAATTTAGAGGTTATTGAGATAAAGTAACTATTACATAGGTAATTACACAAAATTTTGAACTTGTGAATTTTTCTAATATCATTCATTTTTAATTATATTTTAATCTCAACTTAAAAATATACTGACATATAGTTTGACAGAATTATCACTTATTTAAAATTAAAAAAAAAAAAAAAAGAATAGTAGACCCAGACCAGTCACCAAATATGAATTGTGATTGGTGTATTTTATATTATATGTATGAGGTTTTATATTATATGGATGAAATTATATCCGTTCAGTAGACTGATATGGCATACTGTATGTAATAAATATAATATTGATATGGTAATTTCTGGAGGGTAAATTGATATGTCTGGAATATTTTGGTAATCAGTATTTAAATTTAGTTAGCAAAGCTGGGTGATGTCAAATCTAGAAAATCAATGAAGAATAGTTTGTGCAACAATAGTGGATATGATGGCCATATCGCTCGAAGACAAAGCACGACTCCGTAGGGGGAGTGATCAATCGTCCAAGTGCGATATGGACAATCTAATCGAGTTGTACAGAATATTTTTTCTACGACTCGCTAAAGAAAATCCACAAATTTTAAAATTTATTTTAGGTTAAGATAAATTACTGATTTAAAAATTTACTAATTTATAAAATAAAATAAACTAAAAAAATTAACCTTTCGCATGCCATCCAAATGCCCTAGTCTCACCTTCATCGCCACACGTTTTAGTTCTAATACTCGTAATTAAATTGAATTCATATAGTTTTATTAAAATTAATGGTTTATTTGTAAATATAGATGAAATAAAAATGAAAATGCTACACAAGAATAACTAATTTTAATGTATATTTAATCTTAATAACTAAAAAATATAAGGACAATTAGTTTGACAAAATTGTCACTTATTTAAAATTTATATTCGTTCAGTTGAACGCAATAGCATACTTTTTCATTTTGTAGTCTGTGTATATAATATCAATGTGGGTGTAGAAAAAAATAATATAAAGTTTGCAGAGGGATGTCATGGGAATTTAATTTTATTTGCTGTCTATGTAGAGATGATATAGATGATAAACGTTAAGGATTATTGTTAGTAATAGCGGATACAGATTAATAAAGCAGATAAAAACCAAAGGGAAAGAAAATTTCATTTAATAGGGACCAGAGACAGAATCTTGTAGTGGGAGGAGGGAACGAACTAGAGCCACTTTTAGTTCGGATGATTTATACAATTTTTTGTCCAACCAAATCAAAATTATACATTTAATTATGGAAACTCAAAAATCGTTAGATGCAAATATACCTGCGTATATAATGGAAAGTGCAGAAGATATAGGTGCCCTATTAGTTTGTTTAACTAAGTTTGGAAGAGGCAATATTTTTTCTTAAAATTTTAATTTAAAACCTCAAATAAAATTAATTTTAATCCTTTCAATCCCATTACTTTTAAATAAAAGCAATAAGTCTTTTTTTGTTTTATTTTTATTGCACTGAGGTAGGCTTGTTTCAAAATACTGCAACTCGAAAAATGACAATTTAACAGAAACATATTACACAATTTATACTCCTAGTAACACAATATATTATTTTTTATATCTGAAGTTCACATTAATTTTTTAAAAGAATTTAAATAAACAAAATTTTGTCAGTTATTGTCAAGTAAACATTGTAAACTGACATTAAAAATAATGACATGTAAGCCATTTAAAATAAACTTTCTGCACAGCATTAAATAAAATATTAGTATAACTTTTCTAAAATTATTTTAAAGTTGATAATTTTTTTTACTTAGGTTTATCACAAAATTTATCATTTTTAATATTTAATATTTTTTTGTAGGTTATCATGCACCTTCAAAAGATCCGTGATCTAGACGCTCTTCAAAATGAAAAAAATTGCCTCTATTTGATGTGTATAAATCCTATGAGCTGCAAGAGCCAGTAGGATATCGAATCATATTCATAAATTGTACAGCCTTATACCATCTTTTTAAATTTCATAAGTTATCATATCAAACCATAAACAATACTAATAATATAACTTGATAGTTGGAGGCTAGCAAGAAATTACGCAGGTAATGAATAATTGCAAAATATGTTTATGCTCCAGTGGCGGGAAATATAAAACAAAAGTTATCTTGAGTTTCTGAAATAATTTAGTTGGCAAAAGTCACTTTTAATGAAACATTCGTAGCAAAATAAAATTCTTAAGAAACGAGAAAAATGATTAGAAATAAATACTTGAAAGCACCACAAGAAACAAATTAAATTATTAATTTTGAAATACTTTTACCTACCATTCTTTAAAATGTAATTAGATATACACCTTGCCACTACTAGTCTGATATTAGCCACTGGGTCCCAACTTAAATCCAATAAATGTGGCATCACCTCTGACATGAATTGTTCCGGTTCTAAAGCTTCTTCTTTCAACAGTTCTATACAAAGTAAACAGAATGTCTGACGACGCTTCCATTTCTTCGAGTGCGCAAAAGTCTCGGCTAATTTTACTAATAGACTAGACGTCAGATTTGGTTCTGAAGATGTGTATGATACAATTTCCGTCACCTAAAAATTTCCAATGCAAGTTAATAATTTACAAACACCCTTGATAGGAAGCCAATGTAAATAAAGAAGTATTTACCAATGACAGAGCAATCGTTCGCACAGCCGCAACTTTATCACAAAGTAGATCAACTGCAATGACCCCGATATGTTTGGCAATGTCCGAAGGCTTGAATAACTCCATTGCTTCTAATAATTGTTTCGCCAATTCTTCCCTGAACCTCCAATTCCACTCGTTGTCGGTATGTAAGAATTCTACTAACCTGAAAGTAAAATAAATAAACTTTAAATTACACATAGTTAGGCTAAATAACCAATTATATTAACCATATGCAGACCAAAGTATGAAATTACTGACCTAGGTAAATAAGTATTCCTTTTAGGTGGATTTATAACCGTTAAAAAAGCGGTCAAGTGTTTTAAAACGCCTATTCTGACCTCATCGAGATCTTTAATAAATCCTTCAAACAGTGAAGTCAAGCTATTGGTAGCCAATTCCGGGCCTAAAATGATGGCTAATTCATGTAAACTGCTCGCTACGGTTCTCCTAACCTTGTATTGTAAGTCGCTGGCTAAAGAGAACACAGTGTCTTCCAGTAAGTGCCAGTTCTCTTTGCCCAATGTCAAGACAACAGCTGGTAGAGAGTAAGCACAATGATAGGCCATTTCGTGTTCAATATTTAGAGGGAGAGCTGGATACGTCATGGATATGAAACTGTCTACCAAAATTTGGGGAACTATTGTTTGTTCCGGTTCCGTTGTTACAGTCATATTATTTATAACTACACCTAAAAATTAATTAAAATTATTTAACGCTATAATACATCAACCAATGACAATCATCTTTAATTCCAACAGATGCCAATCAACACAAATTGTATCTGAAAACATTGCATACTGCAGTGTTTTCACTCAATCCCTATTGGATTTAAAAAATTCAATTCATTACCAGAGTAACGCATCAATGATTTGTGCAAAGCGTTAATGTTAAGTTTGGCAAAAAGGTTGAGATATTGGGTCTTATGATTGAACGTTTACGTTATCCGTAACGTACATGTTAGGCCGAATTTTAACAGTAACGAGGCAAATTTACATGATGGAAAACTGTTAAATTAGAACATAACAGGCGGAAAATAACCGTAATGTGTTGGAAAAAGTTTTCTATCTTACGAACTTGCCACATTACTGTTAAAACTCAGCCTAACATGTACGTTACGGATAACGTAAACGTTCAATCATAGGACCCATTAAAGAAATTTTCAACGCCCATGTCAGTAAACGTTAAAAATCGCACTGTCAACATTCCTTTTAAATGACATTTAACAATAACATGCACTTAATGAGATCTCATAACATACACGTGCTTTTTGATAAGAAAACTTAAATTTCTTAGTTTAATTAAATTGCAATCAAATTTTTATTTACGTAAGACTTTATTTGGTTCATTTACATAAATTTAGTCAATTTAAAAACATAAAAACTTTTAGCAATAGCGAGATACATTTTGGATTAAAAAAATTATGCCCCTAAATGTCGGCAACACATTATACAATATACTAAATATTGTATTTGAACATTTTCTAAACTTTACCTATGAATATATGTTAGTAGTGAAAATTATGAAATTATGAGCACTCCACCAGAGATTTTAGAAAAAGCTCAAGCTGTCACACATAATTTGTTACCGTTAAAATCCAAAAAAAAAAAAAAAAGGTACGAAATTACCTATCGAAAATTTAAGGATTAGCGACACAAGCATATGTCCTTTATTTAATAAAAGAAAATAAGTGGGCGTAGAAAAAGTATAGTACGTTACACGAGTTGTAAGCCCATTACGCACTCGCCGCTGCGCGGCTTCGTGCGTAAACTTTTTCACTTCGTGCGTAATGGGTTACTTACAACTCTTGTTACGTAATATACTATAAATCATTTCCAATTCAATTCATTACCAGAGTAACGTATCCATGATTTAAACGAAACGTCAATGTAAAGTTTCTTAAAAAGAGACGAAAAATAGACAAAAATCGTTTTGGTTATTTACATATACATTTTAAATACAGAATCAATTTCATCTTACGGAAACAAAGCAAATATTGTTTAATAATCTTTTCAAACACCACGTGAGGTAAGAATTTTTTCTAATAACATTTTGTTGTTTCCATACAAATTATGCAATTTCACTCAAAATCCTTCCAAAATACCACTCGACTGATGTCTTCTTGGTATTTTAAGGAGAATTTTGTATCGTGATATTTAGATGCATAATTTCCAAAATGTTCTCAAAAAAACTACCTGGCTAGAATACATTCATGTAACAAAACATTTGTGAACTTACTATCATCTGCAACATCTTTTTCATCTATAGAAAGAGTTGAATTGTTATTATCTGCAGCTTTATTCTGAGTATTATCATTTTGTAAAAGAAACTGAAAAAAAAAAAAGGACTAAAGTAGGTATTTTATTAAATAAACATATATGCCGTTCTAAAAAATACTATAAGTGACTTTGAAGGACATTTAACTGTTTTAGTGTGAAATTATTTTAATCACTTACACCGTTTTTTAGAACTCAAGTGTCAAACACAAAGCACCAATATTTGAATTTTAGTAAATTATTTACCATAAACTATGATGATTTCTAGACAAAAATTTAAAGAAAAAAAAAATATAACACAAAAACCAAGCTTCACTTAAAGCTTATAAATAAAATTCAACAAGTACTTACGGTGAAAAAAATGCAAAACATGGAAGTGTTGTACCAAAAACTAGTAAGCAACATCATGAGAAGCCTTTTATGGTTGTGAAAGTAAGTTACCTATTTACTACTGACAATTTTTTTTTAATATATAAGTATAAAAGCTTTGATAATTAAAAATAATTCTTAGAAGATGGACACATTTGTTTCGAGTACGAATCGAACCCACAACCCCCTACTATCATCTAGCGTAAGCTTTTATTTTCCTTCGTGAACAGGGTGATAGAAAAATACATCAATATCAATTACCTTAAATATTCAGAATTCCATAAATTAATAAATGATGGGACAAAATGGGTTGAGTCAACACAGATCAAAAGATTTTGTCATCCACATTTTTTTGAACTTTAGGAGAAACCAGTTTTGTGGCCCTTTAGCTAAGCTTTCTGTTAAACAAACTATATAAGAAGCTACGCAGTTTTGAAGAGTTCACCAAAGCAATACCTTCCAGTAAGTTCACCATCTGCAGACATAATACCTCACTCATTGGGGACTGATAAATGCCATCACATAAAAATAACAGGTACACCAACTACTGTGTTTTATAAACAATTAGGTTGTATATGATGAGAACTTGGATAAGGTGGTGCAATATGATACAAGTATGTTTCATGTTTAAAGCAAGTATTTTTTCCGCTGAACCTTCTGTATAAGACCCAACCCCAACACCTGCAACACATTCATGATGCCATTCACAGCCATCGGTGTGGAATTTACGAACTTTCCTTGTTCTACAATTAGCCAAATCTGTACTGGTTCCTGCATCATATTTCTAGTACAGGTATAATCAATCGCTTTAATTCCTTGAATGACTAGAGTAAGAAATTATTTTTCCCATTTTTTTTTATTATCAATTCGCGTCATAAAACTACCTCTGCTTTCAGTGTAAATGATTTATACCTTTGTGGATGTCAGGATAAAAAAAAAAATAAGTAGGAATAGAAGATACTAAATGAGTATTTAAATTGAAATATTAATTTTGCACGAGTAAGGATGCAGATTATTGGGAACATTTTAAAGCAGTACATAGAAAAATCAATTGGGTTCAAATTCATCTATCTAAACTCTCAGAATAAAAATTTAAAATTTAATATATTCCATTAAAAATTTTAGTATTGTGTCCATGGGTATTTTATTATTGGGGGTAATATCCACCTTTTCAAATTTCGTAGGACTTAAGGCGAAATCTCCATTTTGAATAAAATATTACTTTTTTGTTTGTATAACATTAAAAAAATTTTTTTTTTCATCGGTATTAGCGGATGTCAGGTATTTGAAAAAACGATTTATTTAAAATTATCAAGCTTATTATTTGCTGATTCAATTGTAAAAATAAATAGAAATGGCAATGTTATATGGTACTTACATCTCCAGCTCCGTCGATTGGATACATATCGCCAGCAACTATATTGGGATCTAAGGGCATGTCAGGACTAATATACCAATAATTGTGTGAGTAAAATAAATGCAAGTCATCCTCTCTAGTATCACACACATTATTATTGATATTATTTACCTTTTTTTCGTTGTCATTTGTATCTTTATTCATATCAGTGATCTTATCTTCATTACTATTATTTGAATTTAATTGACTAATTTCACTATCGACATTTGTACTATTTTCTTTACTATCTACAAATAAGTGTATATTCTGCAATTCATTTTTTAGTTCAATAAGAATTTCACTAATATCACAATTAGTTTTATTCAATATCACACTGGAGTTACATTTTGAATCTTCTGTGGTTTCTTTGTTTTTGACTACAAGTAAATCTATATCACCATCAATTTTTGCATTGCATTCAGATTTATGTTCATTAGAATCTGCGTTTGAATTTAAGTCTATTTCTTCTTTTTCACTCTTAAAACTCCATTCGCCCTCCTCCAAACCTGCCAGTGGATCGTTTTCTTCCAAATCGAAGTTTAAGGGATTCATCATTACATTTGTATCTTCTTTTCCAGAATTTCCTAAGAGTGAATACCTTTCAGTTAATGTCAAAGGAGGAGAACAAGAAATCCTGGAAAATTAAAGACAAAGTGAGAATTCCGTTTTCAGTCAAGCTTAGATAAATAATTTGAAGCATATTATGTATGCTATTAGAGAGCAATGGTTTCTAAGTGAAATTAAGAAATAAATAATTCCCAACTCCACAGCAAATGATAAAAATAGTCCATCTGACTGAAAAATTGACACGTCGTGTTTTTGATTGCTATTTATAATTGAATACAGGAGTGGGGGGGGGGAGGGTGGACAAGATGCATTATGTCCTGGTGGTGGAAGTGGTCATGTGACCTGTTAAATTTAAAGTAAAGTTACTTATCGAAGGATTTTTTCGTTATTTTGCTGACAATTAAAAACGATGAGCTTCTAGACATCAATTACAATCAGAGCTCTTTAAAATCATTTTAAAATAGATTTAAATCAAAGATCATAAATCGTTTGCAATTGAACAAATGATTTAAATCAAAAATCATTTTTACAATTTAAATCATTTTAGGAAAGATTTAAATCATTTTAGGAAAGATTTAAATCATTTTAGGAAAGATTTAAATCTTTTCGAAATATCTAAATCTTTTTAAACGATTAAAATATTTTTAAAAGATTTAAATCACTTAAAAAGCATTTAAATTATAAAACATTATTATATCGTTTTTTTTTTCGGTATATCCTGCTCGAAAATTTAGGAGAATAAAATAAATTAAAACATTGTTACATTTACACTACACACAATTTCGGTTACAATAATAGTTTAAGACTAATAATGTAAAACTTTCCAGATAATTATACTGTACAGAGTTTTCAAAACTGAATGTTCGGCACAGCTAGTTAGTATTTTTATAAATAAGGCAAAAAATATCTGTACATTTAAGACTGATTGTTCCACCACGGGGGCTTTTAAATCTAAAGTATTTTCATTACATAAAGCAAGAAAATCTCAATTAGACGTTATAGAAATTAGAAGTAGTAAATTAAAAATTAGTTAAATCGCTGCAAATGCAAAAGTAATTAGTCACATACAATCAAAATCATGTGCTTTTAGCCCAATCGGATTAGTATTTTGGATTCTGAAAAATTCGAAGCAGCAATTTTCCTTCGGAATTCGTTGGAGGGGGTCTCTGGTAGTCTAAATTCAAAAAGTTGGGACTCCAAAGTTGTCGTTACCTCCGCCATCTTCATTTAAAGGGTTATTTTTTGTATCTTGAATAACTCATTTATTTTCAATTTTACACGGAAAATAGTTTTTACAAAAGTTATTTAAAATTAAATTTCCTACAATTCTGCTTTTTTTTGTACGATCGATTTTTTTCGATTTATACTCGAAAAGAGGGGGTGAATTTTTGGTTATAGAATAACTCGTTTATTTTCAATTTTACGAGAAAAATTGTTATAAACAAAGTTGTTTAAAATTAAATTTCCTACAATTCTGCTTTTTTTTGTACGATCGATTTTTTTCGATTTATACCCGAAAAGAGGGGGTGAATTTTTGGTTATAGAATAACTCGTTTATTTTCAATTTTACGATAAAAATTGTTATAAACAAAGTTGTTTAAAATTAAATTTCCTACAATTCTGCTTTTTTTTGTACGATCGATTTTTTTCGATTTATACCCGAAAAGAGGGGGTGAATTTTTGGTTATAGAATAACTCGTTTATTTTCAATTTTACGAGAAAAATTGTTATAAACAATGTTGTTTAAAATTAAATTTCCTACAATTCTCCTTTTTTTTGTACGATCGATTTTTTTCGATTTATACCCGAAAAGAGGGGGTGAATTTTTGGTTATAGAATAACTCGTTTATTTTCAATTTTACGAGAAAAATTGTTATAAACAGAATTGTTTAAAATTAAATTTCCTACAATTCTGTTTTTTTTTTGTACGATCGATTTTTTTGTCTTTATCCCTGAGAAGAGTGGGGGTGAACCTAAGTATTGTATTGTCACGTTTATTATTGATGTTGTACCATTATTTTTTCTGTTTGTTTTTTTTTGCTGATTTTCAAAAATGTTATTTGGTACAATTATGATTCCGATTTTTTCTAAGAGTTTACCCCCACTCTTCTCAGGGATAAATACAAAAAAATCGAGCGTACAAAAAAAAACAGAATTGTAGGAAATTTAATTTTAAACAACTTTGTTTATAACAATTTTTTTCGTAAAATTGAAAATAAACGAGTTATTCTATAACCAAAAATTCACCCCCTCTTTTCGGGTATAAATCGAAAAAAATCGATCGTACAAAAAAAAAGCAGAATTGTAGGAAATTTAATTTTAAACAACTTTGTTTATAACAATTTTTCTCGTAAAATTGAAAATAAACGAGTTATTTAACCAAAAATTCACCTCCTCTTTTCGGGTATAAATCGAAAAAAATCGATCGTACAAAAAAAAAAGGAGAATTGTAGGAAATTTAATTTTAAATAACTTTTGTAAAAACTATTTTCCGTGTAAAATTGAAAATAAATGAGTTATTCAAGATACAAAAAATAATCCTTTAAATCAAGCTGGCGGAGGTAACGACAACTTTGGAATCCCAACTTTTTGAATTTAGACTACCACAGACCCCCTCCAACGAATTCTGAAGGAAAATTGCTGCTTCGAATTTTTCAGAATCTCAAGCCTGTTCTTCACCTAATCCGATTGGGCTATTTAGGAAGTTTTTCGCTTTCAACAATTTGTTTTTTTTTTCTTTTCGTTTCAGGATTTATGGATGGAGATGGAGCTCTTGTTTTATTTCGCACGATTAAAGAAAAAATTTGTTCGTTTTGTGTTATTTAAAATAGTTGTTTATTCAGAAAATATATATTATGTTTATTGTTGTAACCAATAAAGATTCAACAACTAATATTTAGTTATAATACAATTTTGTATTATTTATTTTATACCTCTAAAATTATTTAACATAAAATTTTACATTTTTATTAGCAAAAAATGTTATTGAAAATGTAAAATTCTTATATTTTGTCAAAGTAAATTCAAAAGCCCGCCAATTTTCAAATTAAAATAGCATTACAGCTTTTTATATTACCGACTGAGTATTAGTTGCACAAAACTATCCCACAAGTCGCTGAAGGCAAACATGTTGCCATATTTATACAAAGAAACGGCAACTCTTAATTATCCTTCCTCCATGTGTTCCACGTTGTCAGGTTACAGAAATACATAAAACGAAACCTTCCCATTTTGCCATAATAGTCATAGCCTTTAAACAGTTTTATTAAAGCATACAAAAAACGTGTAACTAAAGAATTCATCAATAATCAAAAAAACAAAATTTTCGAGCATGAAGTATCCCTTAAATATTATTTGATTTTAACAATACAAGATTAAAATGATATAAATCTTTAAGAAAATTTAAATCATTTTAAAAAGATTGTAAATCATTTCAGAAAGATTTAAATCTAATTTTTAAATAAAAAATCAAAGATACTTTTCAGAAAGATTTAAATCAAAAATCATTTTTTTAAAAAATATTTAAAATCAAAGTATTTAAATCGAAAAATGATTTAAATCTCACTGATAGGTGACAGCTCTGATTACAATAAAAAAATCCCTTTGCAAGCATTTTCTGTAGTCTGGTTATGCTACTTCCGATTTTTAATGTTTTGCAAAGAATTTCAGGATATAACATAAACGCGTTTATTTAGAACCAAGATAATATTGCAAGTATTTTTTTTTTGTCGACAACAAAATTAATTGTAACCTTGAAGTAGGTGTACAATCGGAACCAAAAGTCTAAGTGGTTTAATTATTGCTCTCAAAATGTTTGTAAGACTCTCATATAATCACAAAATCACAAATGTCCTAATGGTTGTTTAAATTAACAAGTTTTTACTTACGTGAATTCTCCTCCATCTATATTTAGTAGAACTAAATCACCGTTTATGCTGTATCCTATATTTGTTATTGGTGGTTCAGCAAAAGTTGAAATAAAAAGTCCCAACGATTGATATGCGGATACTCTGACCCACCGGCAGTCGTCTTGAAGTAAAGCACCAAAAGCTGGAGAAAGTTTTTCAGTTTTGGACGATTTGCTACAAGCACAGGACATATACGTTATGACTTCAGCACACGCCATTCTTACGCCCCACACGTCGTCTGTGCACAAGGCCAGATATTGAGGTAACTACAAAATACGATTAAATGAAGGTATTTTTGGAAACTTTACACTTTCACGGGAAACATTAAATAAAAAGGAAATTATCTCGAGCGATTTATATTGTTTAACACTCGCCTGATGGAGGTTCCATGGGTCACTTGTAGTAGAATAAAAGTTTTACTTGATGAAGTTCTTCCATAACATAGGTTAATTCAAAATTATACAGTGTGTTCCATAAAGTTGGATCCACATGGGATTTTTTATTACGATTGAAAAAAAAACGTACTAGGACATTTGCCTCTGCTTTGTTAAAAACTTATAATAGTCCGTATTAAAGTTGGCTGGGTACTGCATTAGTTATCTGCCAAATTCGGTACTTTTTTTTTTTCAATTTTTTTTTTAAATACGAATTTGACAGAAAACTAATGTTAGTAGCCAACTTTGATATGGGCTATTTATTTTAAGTTTTTAAGACGTTTCTCGTAATATTAAAAAAAATTCCCATATGGATCCAACTTTATGGCACATACTGTATTAAACCATAAAATTGTAATTTTGAGCAGGTAAATAATTCACAATTCAGATGTTCCTTTTTGTTTAAAGTTTTTCCGAAGGACTTTTATTCAATTTATTTGCATATTAGTAAACTTTGAGAACAGGGTGGTGCATAAATGCTGTAGAGCTGCTTAACTGCCAAAAAATGCAAGTATCTTAGCTACATTTCACAGAACTTATTTTAGACATTCTAAAATATACGTAAAATAGAATTTATGGATAATCTCATTAATTTTATTTATTAAATAATAAAGTGTGTGAGCGCGCGCGTTATATTTTTGCAAAAACGTTAAGATCTGACAACAATGTAAATACCACTTGGAAGATTAACTGTATTACACAACCTCCATAAATAACGTAAAGCAGTTTCCGAAATAATTGGAGCGTTCCATGTATTAGCCTTACTCCGTATACAATAATAAAATTATTTTAAAGTTAAGCTACTGATCCAGAGATTAAAAAATTACATTTTTCGAAGTTCATGTACCTAAGACTTTTAGCCTCGTGTTCTGTGTAGGCTTTGTTACTGCTTTCCAGCGCCACTTTAGGAACATCACTGTTAATTAGAACCCAACAGTGAATGGTCGAGTGGGGAATCCTACCAAGGCATCAGAATTAATTTTAAATAAATAAAAAAATCCGGGCCAACGGTGGGATTCGAACCTGGGACCCTTAGATCCACAGGCAGAGACTCTACCACTGTGCTTAAAAATGCTTTTATAGATTGTGGTTGTAAACGTAAATAGTATTCAGATATTTAATTTTGATTTGAATTTTTTTTGTAGATATAATTTTTTCAATATACTGATCTAACTTGCTTTTATATGAATCCCTGTTCAAGAATAAGATTATTTATTTTGAAGATACACATAGTAATGGATTTAGGATATCGGTATTGTTCACAACTATAAAGTATATCTTTTTCTTTGTCGGTTACAAGCAGGAAGAGTTAGGTTTATCCCAGAACACTGAGGCTTCTTGTGTCTATTGTATTCGCCTGCTTTCCCTGTATTCCAGTAATAAAATTATATAGTAACAGATAAAATGTGCCTCGAGTACTAAGAGCATTTGAACAAAATAAAAATATTAACAAACGGTGTATTTCGAACGAAATTAGTTTCCATTCATTAGATTAGATTCTCATGTAGTCCACTTTGTTACATTCCTTGGTGTCACAAAATATTTTACAAATTATATAATGCCCAGATTATTCTAAACAACTAATATTCCTTACTTTTCGACTATTCTCGAGTTGTTAGATATATCCCCAAAAAAGTAGGCTAATCCATTAACCATAGATTCCTTAGGTCAGTGTAAGAAACTTCTATTATTATTTTTTCAATATACAGGATGACAAAGTTAATTTCATTTTCGTTGTTTTATTAAGTAGATGGATTAAAATTGGTATACCGGTGTTTTTCGGGATGACAAATCACACTTTGAGCCTACATATCACCTACCTCATAGAGGGCGCTAGCTACAAGTAATAATCTTCCTAATTCACCCCCTTATGAGTGAATTTTAACCCCAAAAGCTGAGCTTGTGCGGGGAAATGGACGGCTATTATTATTATTTGCCGAGGCGACTTAAAGACGATTGATGGTGCCATTTGACTTACAGGTGAGGAAAAGCCGGAAAACCTCACCCACCATCATCGAGACGGTAATGCATGGTGATTTTATAATCTGCATGTCATATCAACAGAAATTGAATTTCTATTAATAATACGGCACACATCAAATCCTATATCGAACCATGCAATTTAATTAAAAATCCACATGGTCTGGGATTCGAAGCCGGCAGTCTCGGACCATAAACTGGCCTACAAATGAATATAAGCGCGTTAGACTGCTACACAACCGACCCGACCCTGTATATTGAACATGATGGCCGCCCCAATGGAAAAAAGTACCTAAGGATTGGTTAACGGATTGGCCTACTTTTTTGGGACACCCTGTAAAATTGTAAAGATGAAAATGTTTTATTACATTAGGTAAATCGGACAAATGAATGTAAAACCACCTTATCTATTTATATAAGGTGGTTCAAAATGTCAGAAAACCACATGTCTGTTAATATGATGCAATTTGTACGAAGTTATGGGTAATTAAATCACTCTCATTGTAATAATTTCCTATACTTTTAGTTAATTAATAATCATACACCTTACTTGAGTAATAGCTGATAATCATGGAATATTAATGCTGTATAGATCTGGTAGGCAAAGTTGTCATGTTCCGTCATTGCTTTTGTACTGTAAGTGTAAGTTATTGAACTATCTTATTCTATTAATTCGTGATATAATTTATTGAATATAACTTTTTCTATTAGGACTATGGATAATTCCTATACTATGTGATAATTTAAACACGTACAATCTTATATCTTCCAGAAGGGGAACCCAAATAACGTTAACGAATTTATTAGGGTGTTCTTAAATTTGTTGAACTGTCATCAATCGGGATAAACGAATGTTAAAAGGGTCGTTTAGAAAAAGGGCGAATAGAGCTTGACTAAACGACCGCAGCTCTTACGTTTGCGATACACCACCATTGGAAAGCTTGTTAAAAATTCATAAAAATGCATTCCAATGATATGAAACACCCGAGTAGTAATTGATATTAAAAACTTATTTGTTAAGATTTTAGACATTTTTCAAATTAGTACTAAGTATTAAGCTATCAAGCATGACCTCTTATGGTACCATTTTAAACTAGATTGATGATGGGATGAGTGAAGGTGTCCCTATTTGTATGCTTTTATTGAGGGGGAGGGGTTGCGAAAGGATTAAAGACAGTTGGGGGAAATATCCTTTTTTATTGTTTTTTTTTTTTTTTCAAATTGCAACCTGTATTTTTATTTAGCTTGATAAATAGAAATTTTGGTCCCATAAAAATTAGAGCACTTTTTATATAAAATGAAAATTTAAAAATGTTTTTACATAATTTAATTTTTTTAGTAAAAAAGATCATATTTTTATATGAGCAGAAAAATTACAAAAAAAATGTTAAAAAAAAAAAAACACTAACCAAAACCTTTTCGACGGCATCCTTGCCGACGACAGCACAAAAATTTCCAAAATGTGCCGCGCAAACTTTTCGTATGTAAAACATCGGACTGGAACATAGTTCTGTGAACCTTCCGAGGAATACACGTTCTGTTACATCCCGGCCAAGTAATGGAGCTAATTTGCTCATTAGCTGCAAAAGAGGATACATTCATAGCAGGAAAAATATAATTTATGTATACAGTGTGCGGTAGATGATCTCATGAGTTTTTAGTTAAATCGTCAATAATTTCAGTATGGCTAATTGATATATGAAGAGTATTGTTATTGTATTATTAAATCGTAGACAGTAACTTTTAATGTCTATTAGCCAATCGCGAATAAATAAATACTTTTTATCTATATATAAATAGGCAAAGACAAAATAGTTCAGTACCATTTTTTCTTCTGTTTGTAAACCGATTTTTTTTTTTTTAATTTTTGTTTAGTAGGTATTGACGAGCTTTAGGGTTATCAATAAAAAAAAATGGAAATATATACAGGGTGGTCTCCCATTAGCGCATAATTGTTCAATATTTCAATTTGTGTTATAGACACGACAAACAAATTCCTAATCAAAGTTATATGGATTTGAAAAATAAATATTTTAAAAATATTTTTGTTTATAAAGGGTGTTGCGTTTTTGTCTGGAAAATAAGTGTTTTTTAAATAGAACACCCTGTAATTTATTTTTAGAATGTTTTGAAAAAATATTACAATGTTACCAAGCAATTATTTTTTTTTAATTTAGGGAATGATGCAGACCCCAAATATGTTTACACAGATTAAAAAATTGTTTAATATACGTACGTATAAGATACTTAGCACACAAATAGTGGTGATAGAACTGGTTTATTTTATACAGAGTGTTTTGAAACATGTCTTAAATATGGCTAATTTTAAGTAAAAAATTTTAAAATGCACCACCCTGTATATTATCTTAGCATAAAATTCTTTATAAAATTGCCTATACATCGATACTATGTTAGCCAATAACACATATACAGGGTATCACATCAGTGCGTAATTGATCGATAGCCGAGGTCGGATATAGTAGAGCGATGGGGGGTTACCCACCTCTATTAGAGGCCTCAAGAGTAACCTAAAACTAAAAATTGTGTTTCATATCAATATTAAAATTATTTTTGAATTTATTTTTATTTAATTAAAATGGTACTGAACTATGTTGTATTTAAGTATATCTAAAAGTGTATGGTCTCAGATATACAATGAACTAATGTATAGGAATAAAAAACTTACTAATGCATAATTTATATTTTCCTCAAATTTTCAATAACGATTATGGTCGAACTTCGACAACGGGGTGAACACTAGTATTCATTAAAACAAAATTATTTAAAATGTTTTAAATATTCACGGGAATATTTATTTATATTGTCAAAAATAGGAATATGAATTAATAAATTACTTATTTTTCCATTTTAGTCTAATGATTATGAACATTTAAACATTTTTTCCAAGTTATTAAATGTTTTTGTTGGTACAAGTTCCAATATTAACAATTGCCATTTAGAAAGAAAAAAAATATACTCATGAATGGTAATAATCCTAGGGGTTCCCGGAAAATTGATCTAAAAAAAGGTCCGAAACAATTTGATCTAATATCAAATGGCCTAAACACATGATTTAAAATACATTAGAATATAAAATAATTCAAAACTGTTGAATTTGCGATTCTATACCGCGATGGCTTCAGGACGCATACATTGGATAAGTTGAGTTATTTTTTATTTCAAATTTTATGTAATTAGAAGAAAAAAAAACTAATTTATCTAACCTGTGCGACATGGAGCCATAGGAGTTGCTTTGCAGCAAAGGAATACATTACAAAAAAGTTAAATAAATTAACTAACCTGTACGTCCTGGAGCCATCGCAGGTTTCAATTTCAACTTTTTTAGTTTAGAAGTAATTAGAATAATAATTGAAGACACAAGTGGATGAAGGGTCATGTCAAGAAACAAATTTAATTTAGATCAATGCTCTTATCTAATGCACTTTGGACAAAGATATTTTAGATCAACTGCAATTTAGACAAACTAGTTTTGAGATAAAATGTATTTAGATCAATTTGTACCTTTGACCGTGTGGACTAAATGTACAATTTACAGTAGTAATCTCGAGACACTAAATTTATAGATGAATTACGAAATTTGCCAAAGTCTCGACGAACACTATTCTTAAAGGTCCTGCTTTAAATATACGTTATACCTATAGAATTAGGGTAGCCCAAAAGAAGCGAATATTTTTTTAAGTCTCCTATGAAAATATGTTAGTTTATCATGTTGTAAGATCACCCTCCAAAGGACAGCTCAAAAAAAAATTTTTAAAGGGTCGCTCTGAATTTTTAAAAATTTTTTTTTTTATTTCAAGAAAAATCATAAAGATGCTGAAAATTTCAAGACGAAATTTTAATATTGAAAGGTCACTCCGAATTTTTCTAAGGTTCCAAGTCGAGTACTTTATATCTTTTTGAGCTACTTTTGAACATGAATATTAACGAACTTTATATTTTTTCTTTAATTTTACATACTAAAGAATGAAATTGAAGCACGAGAAACGAAAAAAAAGTTTAATGAAAACAAAAAATATAAAGTTCGTTAATATTCATGTTCAAAAGTAGCTCGAAAAGATATAAAGTACTCGATTTGAAACTTGAAAATTCGGAGCGACCTTTCAATATTAAAATTTCAACTTGAAATTTTTAGGATCTTTATTTTTCTTATAAAAAAAAATAAAATAATGAGGAAAAAATCCGGTTTTCGACGATTTTGGAATTTTTTAAAAATTCGGAGCGACCCTTTAAAAATTTTTGAGCTGTCCTTTGGAGGGGCTCTTAAAACATGATAAACTAACATATTTTCATGAGACTTAAATAAAAAAAATGTTCGCTTTTTTTGGGCCACCCTACTATAGATAGAAAAGCTAGCAAGGGTGAAATTTAGAAGTTTTCTGTCATGGACGATTAAACAAGCTTTAGGCCTTTAGCTTTAGTGATGTTAAAAAAAAAATTATAAAAAGGATGATTTCCCGACATTAGAATTTTGTAGAAATACATATTTGGTTATATAATAATCCTCTCCCTAATTCACCCCCTTACGAGTGAATTTCAACCCCTGAAGTCGACTGAACGACTTGTGTAGGGGAAGGGACGGCTATTATTATTATTTGCCGTGGCGCTCCGGGGCGACTTAAAGATGATTGATGGTGCCATTTGACTTACAGGTGAGGAAAACCCGAAAAACCTCATCCACCATCATCGAGACGGTAATGTATGGCGAATTTTTTTTAATCTGCATGTCATATCAACAGAAATTGAATTTCTATTAATACGCCACACATCAAATCCTAAACCGAACCATGCAATTTAATTAAAAATCCACATGGTCTGGGATTCGAAACCCAGCAGTCTCAGACTCATAAACTTGCCTATAAATGAATATAAGCGCGATAGACCGCTACACCACCGTCCCGATATCAGTCACTAAAAGGTTTATTTAAAAGCACAACATACGTTTCGAATAATCATATTTTTCCATCTTCTGGTGCAGTCAATATTTTTTTTTTTTAAAGCCAGGGGCATTTTTTTTAACACACCTACACGTTGCGGGTTAAAAAGATGTGGTTTCGTCTTTAAGAAAGTTGCTCTTCGTAGTTTTTAAAACAGCGCCAGAATATTGACAAAATTGATTTTCCGAAATATGTTTTGCTTTGAAATAAAAACTTTTAGTAACTGATTAACCAAAAACTTTTATTTCTAGAATAATCTTTTTGTTTAATCCATTTAATATTCTTAACGGAAGTCATTCATCTTTGAATCTTTTTCACACCTATTATTATAATTTAAAATATTTTTCTTTTTATAGTCAATCAGTGTTTCCTTTTTATTTTGGAAACAATTCCTGTAATATGCTAGAATAAGCCATTTACAAGCTTTTTCCTTTTTTAAGTAACTCATATGGTTGTTGATGTAATCATATTTTGAAAATGTTTATTAATTTAATTAAAATACATAAGATCATCTATTGTACACGGTAGTTCAAAATATCTCAAAAAAAAACATGATTCATTTTTGCAGTCCTTATGTTTATTTTTAATTCTCAATAAATGAAACTGACAGTAGGTGTTTTACGAGGGGTCAACCATTATTTCGGAAAGCATCTAAATTGATTTTATAATTTCACCAAAGTTCCCGTCATTTTTATGATGACCTTCCCTTGTCGTTAATCTACAAGCTAGTTATTTTTCAGCAATTGTTTTCGACCATGATTTTAAGTGAAAACGTACCAGTATTTCGTGAGTGGTTCACCCCTCGTTAATTTAAATTTAAGTCAGTCATTCAATTATATACTTCCCAATATTTTTATAATTATATGAACACACATTTATAGGTTCAAATTTGTTTCTATTTTATTTAAAATATTTCGAATGCCACCCCTTTAAAAATGTATAAGTTTCAGTAGCCATAAAAATCCATTTAAAGAACTCAAGTTAAAGTGTTTCCATTTTTAAATAATTTTTTTTTACATTTCTCAGACAAAATGTTATTACGTTTATGCTTCCCTAAGTCTTATTTGAAATTTTATGTAGCAATTACCTTTTAGAAAAATGTACAATTAAATGCAGGTTATTGGATTTTCTTTGCTCAATGAAAACGTCTATATTTTTATATTCTAAAACACAAATACTAAAGAAAAATATATTAATTTGAAAATAAGTTTCATGTAATTAGATTTTTAAATGTAAAATCTTATTTTTTCACTTTTTGTAAAAGAAGTAAAATAATTCTTGAATATTAACATTCTTTTTAAAAATATTCGCCACTACTTCTCTTGAGTTCTCTATATGGGAGAAATAAAACACTTCAAATGAACATTAAAAACTTTATTTGTTTTTAGAATACATATTTTTTTTTTTTTTTTGAATTTATTAGCCTAATATATCATACGACAGATGAAATTATTGCATTCTTACGCTCATCAAAGCTGGCTGTGATATGAAACCAAAAACAACATTTCACATCCACTTGATGAGGGAAAGCATACAGTATGTCTTGTTGAAAAAACCTGGAACGGCGTCAAAACTTCCGTTGATAATAAATGTTGCATCGCTCATCAAAGCTGGCTGTGATACGCGTTAAATATCCGTTTCACAACCACCTGATGAGCGGCACGGCATCTCAAAACCAGGAATTTTTGCCATGTGGCAAAAGGTAAATTTTTGTGTTGGATTAAACACTTTTCACTTGTTTAAATAAAAATCTACTAATTTATAGATACAAAAATTGCAGATTATACGAAATAGGTAAGTAACGGTAATGATAAAATTCCATTAAAAAATATTGGATCACATACGATTACACAATAGTGCTAACAACTAACTGATAAAATAAATTCAGTTGGCCTTATCTTCTTACACAAGAACAGGTGTGACGAAACAAATGCTCTGTAAAAATATATACGAGTTATTCATTCAAATGTTTTAAGTAAACAGAAGTTAGATATATTTTTTCTTATATAGTATAAATTCAATTTTTTAGATTTTAAAATATTCTCGACAGGGATTCTAAAAAATAATTTTGTCACTCCCTGAAAGTTTTGCCATATTGTAAAGTATAGATAATGCATTTGGAACATAAAAATATAATAAATGAATTAAATACACACCAGCGTTTCATGATCAAATATTTTAAAGATTTTATAATGTTACTATATGACCTTACTTTAGAGAATGACCTTAAAAAAAATCACTGCATTAAAAATTTCCACATGATCCAATCAGTAGTTGTTGTAGATATCAACATCGTAACTCGTCAAAATGGCTGTGATACCATTGAGTACAGGTTTCACAACCAAGTTGACTTGCTACGACATCAATAAGCATTCATTTCTTCCTTCCAAAGTGTTCTTCTAGGTGGTAAACACCTTCACCTAGCTCATCAAAGTGGCTGTGATATCTCTCAGAAACACAGAAGTCACAACCAAGTTGATGAGTAGGTAAAAGTAAATGGTTTGAAATCTGTGTAGTCATCTGTTTGAATTCTCTTGCCAAGGTTGAATCAGAATTAAACGTTGCTCATCAAAGCTGGCTGTGATAGAATTAAGTAATCTAAAACTGCCAACTCTGATGAGCAGCGGCAAACTCACTACATATTGAAGAAAATGACAATGTCTTCATGAAAGACAAGGTAGTGAGACAAAAAAAAGTGTGAACATCTCACTACCCATGTCTTTCATAAAGTCACTGCCCAATTTAATGTATAATAGTTCCAGAGTATGTTATTAATCATTAATAAAGTCAACATTTGCCTTCACAATCTAAAGATACATTTCAAATTCTTAAAATAATTTTTGTAATGTTTTATTTAAACGGTATAAATTTTCTTGGATATTATTTAAATATTTTGTTTTTAAAAAGAATCTAACTAAATAATATTTCTTTAAAAACGATTATATTATATCACAGATATTTTAGCAAAAATGCTGACTCAATAATGACTGCATATTTCAATGTGATTTATATTTAATTACACTAATTACCAATCTAATTAAGTTAGTATAGTAGGACTGAAGCTACTACTAAAGAGCAAAATATTTAATCACATTAATTTTATAACAAATAATTAATGAAAATGAGACTGGTAAAATTTAAAAATGGTGTATTAATAAGTAGTTTAGTAATAAAAATTTGTAATAAGAGCATAAGCTAGGACTTATTAATAAAAATTAAACCACCTGTTGTAAACATCACTAGAAACTGAAGGCAGGAAGTTATTTTTTTTTTAATGTTTTTACCACATCAACCAAGGGCTATTTATTAGAAGAAAGTATAGAATGGTTAGACACTAAAATAACTATAAATATTTTACAAAAATTCAGATATATTTTATATAGTATTTACATTTGATAGGTGTTAGTACTTGATACATCAGTAAAATTAGAGAATATTATTAAGCAGTCAAGAAATTTATTATTGGAATTGTCAAACATCTTTGGAGCAAATGTCTAGTTTGAGCTCTTTTTGGTTACGGAAAAACTAAGCATATGTACTTTTAGGTATTGCTATTGTAAACAAAACACCTAAGTTCCATATCTTAAACAAATTAATAATAAGGTCCCAATAAATATTTTATCAAATAAAAAAAGATTGCATTTTTTCCATTAATTTTATCAATTTTACAGTAGAGGGAGTGAATAGGGGTGCCGCGTGGGAAAACATTGTTAATAGTTATATTATAAAATATTGTTAGAGCAAGGAAAATGATTAGAAATGAATTGCTGTATTTTTGATAATAAATAATTGAATAGAAAACATTTTGTGCGACTTGGCAACAGTGTAACACAAAAAAAAAAGTGGCATCTGTTTTGATTTGAGACAATTTGTGAAATTTTTTATTTAAGAAAATTGTGATTATGCACAATATATGTAACTAAGATTTTTTGTTTACAATTATTATGCTTAGTTTTCTCTTGAGCTCAAACTAAACAACGATTGTCTTTTATAATTAAAAAAATAGACACTCATCCCAAATATGTGGTAGAGTGGTCCTGAAAATGGACTGTTTGACAAATTAGTCTATAAACCCTCAAAGCCATTCTATAAGATCTTTTAATATACTTTTTTAAATAAAATATATACTAACTACAAAAAAATAAAATGTAAAAATAATAAAGTGAGGATCCTATTTTCCAGCTTTCAAATTAAAAGAAATGATATAACTTATCTAAAACATGTTTGTGAACTTGGGTGAAATCTAAAATTCCCCATGTGGTTATGTAAAATAACCACAAATTGTAGTTTCCTAGTCACTCCAATTTCCTAAAGACATTTTTCAACTATGTACTTACATTGATAGCACCAGTGTTTACATCCACAGCAGTAGCGGTTTCTAGCTTGGTTAGCGCTAAAATAGCGGGGCATACTTGTATTTCAGCTTGGAGTTTCGTGATAAAGCCTTGTTTTATTAAATTAATAAGGGTCGAATGAGCAATTAGTGTATTTTCAGAACATCCTAAACTTCTTACTACCAATGGAATAAGGTAATCACTCACTACATTCTTAAATGCACTGACTCGAGTTGAGCATTCTATGGCTTGTGCGGCAATATGTGGTATTTCCTCCAGTAAATCAGCCCTCAAGATCGGCTCTAGAACGAAAAAAAGAACAGTATTAATATTTCGAAGAAATTTCAAAGATTATAACCACACTATTTTAGAAAATAACCAACAAACAGGATGTTTAATGTTTCAATAACCCCAGTAAACAGCAACAAGAAAAAAGCGGCAAACCTAGAAGCACGCGGTTTGCCTCCATTTTGATTTGAGCCCAAAATATTCTTGCAGGTTAACCGGAAACGCTTTGCACAAACACAGCCGAAATACTGAGAGTTTCGCACTAAAAAGCTGTTCACGACTTACCCTGAGTACTTATCTTTAATTTTTCACTGGTTATATAAAAAATAGATCAACTTTTTCTTGAAATTTTGTAAAAAATTACAAACGCAAACACGAAGCGTTCTCACAGCCATGCCGAGCACGCCTACTTGATGGCATTGCCGCTGTAAGGCGCTAGAATCGCGGCGGCAAGTAGAGATCGTTGAACGCTCTTGTAGTACGCGCTTGTCACACCGTTTCACCTTATTTCATTCAACTTCGCGCAGCACCGCCCAATGTCTGGAGCGTCCTACAACACAGCACAGTTTGCATTTGGTGTTGCGTACTTCCAACTAAATCTGGAATTTATTTTAATCTGTTAATTTCACTACCACGGAATACCTTCCTACTATTATTTTAAAAACTACGTAGGTATTATTTCATGACCAAAGTGCGTTCAAGTTGACTAATTTGATTTTATAAATATTCTTGCAATAAAATCAATTTTTCTAGAAATATCTAATTAGATATCTTTAAGTAAAACTATGAATAAGCTTTTCATGACTAACATTTTCGCTAGAAACTTAGATGAGTAATTCATTTTATCCAAATGAAAAATCAATAAGGATGAGTTGATATAGGTAGGCAAGTTGAATACTTGTAACTATTTTAACAAAAATCTTATCGTCCGAATTGCTTTCTACCGCCCGATACCTATGCATAGAATTTTATTTTCTCTGTGTTAAGGGAGAACCGAATAAAATTAGTAATGGGAATCAAAAATAGACTGCAAAAAGTGGCGCGTTGTGTTTTTTGCTTGCTATTTCTAGTTGAGTAGGTACAGGGGAGGAGGGTGAACACAACATGTACTGGTATCTGTCATGTGACCTGCCAAACTCAAAGTAAATAAGTTGCTCATCGATTTTTTTTTGCTGGCTATGAAATACACTGCTCAACAACTGAACTGGATAATTGGTAAAATCCTGAAATTTATATGTAAACATATTTTAATTTTTTTTTTTTGTATTATCAATAAACCGTATTCACAGCGATTATTTTTTGCATGTTTATTGTTCGTTGTCAATGCTCTTATCTCTTTCACGAAAATTGCAGGAAGGTTGTTTAAAAATCGTAGAGTATCAGTTGTGCAGAAGAGCTTATTCTTACTTTGTTCTGTTACTTTTATCAATAATTTTGTATATTCGAGTAAAAAATATGCCGTTACGACGATTAGAGGCAGTGCAACTGCAGCAATTAGAGTGACAGCACTAAGACGAGCCAGGGGAGGTCCAACAAGATATTAATTTGTTTGTAGGGATTTTGTAAAGTGCGCAATGCAAGAATTTTTTGTTGTTACTTTTTCAATTTTTTTAATTTTCCTATAATTTTCAATTAAATGGTTTTTCTTTTCAGTTATACATATAAAATGTTTTCTATATTACATGATTTTTTATTTTATTTTAAATTATTGACAAATAAAAACAAATTTTTTAAATATCCACTTCAATTGTTGAGCAGTGTATATATGCTTCTAGACGTCTATAACAATAAAACAATCCTTTTGAAAGCATTTTCTGTAGTCCGGTGTTGCTACTTTCGGTGTAGGGATTTCGGCCACGTTACCGGTTTTTTCTTAATCTAAAATTATATTGCAAGCATTTTTTTGAGCCGACGAAAGGATTGATATGCAAAAAAATTGCAACCTGGCAAAAAGTAAACGGTTTTTTGAAATACATGTAAAATCGGAACTAAAAGTCGAAAAGTCGTTGAATTGCTCTCAAAGTGTTTGTATCACTCTCAAATAAGAGCAATTTTTTATTCACTCGTTTTACCACATTCACGATATTTCACACATTTCACATTTTTTTCTCGAAAATCTGGGATGAATAAATGGCTGAATGGAGTAGAACTACTGAATAAAAAAAAAAGCTAGCAAGGGAAATTCAAACATTATTAAAGCAATTAAACCACTTTTCGACTTCTGCTTCCGTCTTTCGATTTTACACCTATTTCAAAAAACAGATCACTTTCGCAGGTTGCGATTTTTTTATATCAACCCTTTCATCTTAGGTTCAGAAAAAAACGCGTTTAAGCCATATCCCGAATTTTGTTGAAAAACGAAAATATCCGGTCACGTGGCCGAAATCCCTACACCGGAAGTAACAAAACCAGACGACAGAAAATACTTGCCAATTAATTTTTTTATCGTTATAGACAACGTTATTATTTAATTTTGAAACACAAAAAAATTGAGAACAAATAAGAATGCCCAAGCGTTGAGCAAATTCATCACTCGATGTTACTGTTTAAGTGTATACTAAATACAGGGCTTGATATTTATTGTTCGTTTCATTCTCTTTAAATTTAATATTGCCGCTGAATAAACTCTGAACGAACCCTAACAATTCGGTTAAAATAAATTTATTCAATTAATATTAGAAGTTTATACATTTCCTCTTGATTTAATAGACATAGACGTTTGTTTTCAAACAAATTTTAATAAAAAACAATAAACAACATTATTTAAATCAATAAATTTCCAAATATTTTGTACCTATCTAGCCATTCAGTTGTATTTTTGCCGTCTTTTACCGCAAATTTGGACAATTATTCTGGGTATACCTAGCCAAACAGGAAAAGCACAATCAGTAATTTATGCGGATTTTTTGACGTGGTTCTAACTTCCTTATTTAAAAGATAAAGTTTGTAAACCATATAGTTTCGAATAATTTAAATATAATATAAAGGAAACCGGAATAGAAAATTTAAGTACTTGAATGACCTATTTTTATCAACCTATTCTTACATAATTAAAGTTAACTTATGCTAAGCGTCCTAATATGATGATATAAAAAGAATGAAACAAATCACTAAATGGATAGCTATTTACACTTTTTCAGTTTTTCAATATGTCACTCTAGACTTAACAAGATCTATACATGAAAAATTATGTTCAACTGTTTATTTATTTGGACCCATATAATATACCCCAGAAACTGTAATGATAACAAATAGTTCGGACAGAAGTAAACACAACCAATACGGGTTAATAAACTTATTGATTGAAAACCTATCAATATAGATAATTGTGGGAATTTCCCTAATCAATCATTTGACTTCAGTGCAGATTAATATTAAAAAAAAATATTAATACATGATTTTTCAAAAGTGAAATTAATGCTCTGTTGTTTGATATATATTATTGGTGATTTATTTTGGTGGTTTCCATAAAAAATAAAGCGTGTATTACATTTTAAGTTAAAATAATCATGAGCACCTCTTATATTATTTTTATTATTTTATTTATAAAAGTTGGCCTTATTAATTATACATCGTTTAATTTTGAAATTGTACTGTTTACTTATTTATTAATGGAAATGGAGGCGTAATACTGAGTACAATACACCAATTTAATCTTAACACTATAAGTGCCCACCCTCTTGAGTTAATCAACAACTAGTAACTTTAAATAATATATTATAATAACAGGTATAATGTAATAACAGACATTAATGCAATTCGATTTAAATCAAGAGATTTCTGCATTGTTCAATTATTAGCTATTTTAGCGCACAGACTACAAAACGAAAAAGTTGAACATTGCGTTCAACAACGTATATATTTCATATCCATTCTACCTAGTAAGAAAACTACACAAATATGAAATCCACCAATCACAGTTCATATTTGGTTACCAGACTATTTTTTAGTTTTTTTTTATTTTTTTTAAATAAGTGACAATTCTGTCAAACTAATTGTCAGTATATTTTTTAGTTATTTTACTTATATAATTAAAAATAAGCAATTCTTGTGAAGAATCGATAAATAACATTTCACAAGATATTCGTCTGTATTTACAAAAAAAAATCATAAATTTTAATAAAACCAAAATAAAATCAATTTAAAGAAGTATTAAAAATAAAAAGTTAGGTGTAACGATAGAGCTGAGACTAACGTACTGACTTGTCATGCGGAAGAGTCTGGGTTTTAAATCTGATTGAAGATTATTTGAATAAAATATTTTTTTTCAAGTTAATTTTATCTTAATGGCCTAAATTAATTTTTAAAATTTGTAGATTTTTGTTAGTGGGTAGTAGAAAAAATAGAGTGTACAACTCGAGTGGGTTGTCCGTATCGCACTCAGACGATTGAGTGCTTATGGTGTCGTGCTCAAACTTCGTCTTCGTGCGACATGGTCATCATATCCACTCTTGTTGAACAATATATACTATTTTTTACCCGTTGTTTCAAATCGTAGCCATTTTCAAACATATTTTTCTAACACGGTTGATTTTATTTAATATTTTTTTACTTGGTTATTAATGACAGACTATGTGAAGCGGGCCCCCCGAAATGCGAAAATTTTAATTTTAAAAGCGCCACCTATTGATCATATTTGAGCACCCAGCGACTTTTTTGACCACCCTCAGAAACATAATTATAAAAAGAGACTGAATGCCCGCTGGCCCCCCGAAATTTAAATTTTTTAAAACAGATTGCATCATACGATTGATCAATTTTTGAGCATGTTTGACCCCCATTAAATTTTTTTAATCAACCTTTAAAATAATTGTAAGGGGTAAATTATAGAAGAACAAGAGTTCTGCGACGAATTTCAACTTTGAAAAAATTATCAATCGTCAGGAAGACACAATTAAGATTAAAAAAATGTTGAAAAGTATGTATTGGCGTTTGACCATTCCCTAAAATAATTCAAAAGACCACAGAGGAGGTCAAAATTTGAAAAAATCTAATTTCGACTTGAAAAAATGGC